AGGCGAGAGGAGCCCGGCCTGTGCACAGCCCCAGGCGCTGGGAAGGGGGAGCCGGTCTGGGGTGCGGGAGGGGATCTGAGCAGACCTGCTGGCTGACCGCCCCTGCCCCCCCCCCCCCCGGCGATGGAGCGGCTGCAGAGGGGGAGGGGGTGGGGAGGGGTGTGTGGGACACACCCAGGCCCAGAGCTCGCCCGGGCCTGCGCTGGGTCTGGCTGGGCAGGGGCGGCCCCCGGGGGCTCTGACCACCCCCGGTTTCTGGAAACCTCCCTCCCGCGGTGGAGGGACCGTCAGGAAGGACCGGCTGGGCAGGGGGCGGCCCCCCGGGGGCTCTGACCACCCCCGGTTTCTGGAAACCTCCCTCCCGCGGTGGAGGGACCGTCAGGAAGGACCGGCTGGGCAGGGGCGGCCCCCCGGGGGCTCTGACCACCCCCGGTTTCTGGAAACCTCCCTCCCGCGGTGGAGGGACCGTCAGGAAGGACCGGCTGGGCAGGGGCGTCCCCTCCGGGGGCTCTGACCACCCCCGGTTTTCTGGAAACCTCCCTCCCGCGGTGGAGGAGGGGGCACAGGCAGGAAGGACCGTCATGGAGGACCCAGGCTTTGTCAAGGTCGCCGGCCGAGAACAAGAACAGAAACGGAAGACCTGGAGAGAAGCGGGAGGAATTTCCCAGAAAGCAGAGGGAAGGAGGAAGTGGGCGTGGGGGGGGGGGCTCCTGAGCTGCAGGAGTTCGTTCGGAAAGAACGAGAACTGAGACGGGAGAGGAACCTGCGCAGAGACAGGTGGAGAGGATGCTTGCCGTCCGGCTCCAGGTCCCGGCTCCTGGGTCCCAGCTCCGGGTCCGTGGCTCCCGGGCCCCCGGCTCCTGGGTCCCAGCTCCACACACACACACACACACACACACACACACACACATACACTCACACATACACACACACACACACGGATACACTCATTCATACACACATACACACACATACACACACACATTCACACTCGCACACTCACACACACACACATACACTCACACAGACACACACATACACTCATTCACACACACATACACACACATATACACACACATTCACACTCGCACACACACACACACACACACGCACGCGCATGCATGCACACCCCCACTCACACAGCTTGAAGGCCCACCTTGCCGTCCTCGTGGTAGACGAAGATGTTGCGGGTGCTGTTGTCCTTCAGGTAGGTGACCTGCAGGCCGTGCGGGTGTCCGATCTTGGCCGGCTGGAAGGTGGCGTTGAGGTGCTCGATCTTCATGACGGCCTTGGGCTCCTTGGCCTGGAAGCGGGCGGGCTCAGGGCGGCGGGCAGGCGGTCTGCACACTCGGGAGGGGTGGGGCGGGCGGCCCCTCTGGCCTGGGCTCCGGCCTGGAGCCACAGGGATGGCGCCCCACAGGGTGGACGCGGGCGCCCACAGGTGGGTGGGCCGCTGACCTGCCAGCCGGGCGGCTCCCCTCGCCCTGTGCCCACCGGCCCCCTATCTGCCTCTCAGGTGATGTTCTGGCCGGGGCCCGTCCCCGGGGGTCTGCCTCGCACCCCCCACATTGCCTGGGGGACCCAGGTCAGCCCCGTGTGTGTGGTCCTGTCCCTCGGAGGCCCGGGGGCTCCCGGATCCCAGCACTCCAGGCCGGGCACGGCCCTGCTGCCCGGGGGCCCTCCCCCCACCGCTCACATCACCCCCATCTCCACCCGCCCCCAACCCCACCCCCGCTCACATCGTTCCTGTTGAAGTACTTGAGGGCGCCCTCACGCTCCGTCAGCACGAACTTCCGGCTGAGGAACTGCCCGTTGTCACGGCCGCGCTTCCAGAGAAAGCCCTCCCGGTAGCCTGCGGGGGGGACGGGTCAGAGCCACAGTGGATGGAGCCACAGGGACGGAGCCACGGGGACGGAGCCACGGGGATGGAGCCACGGGGACGGAGCCACAGGGATGGAGCCACAGGGACGGAGCCACGGGGATGGAGCCACGGGGATGGAGCCACGGGGACGGAGCCATGGGGATGGAGCCACAGGGACGGAGCCACGGGGATGGAGCCACGGGGACAGAGCTAAGATGGAGCCACGGGGACAGAGCCACGGGGACAGAGCCACGGGGATGGAGCCACGGGGACGGAGCCACGGGGACGAAGCCACGGGGACGAAGCCACGGCGGACAAAGTGGCCACCACGGACCCAGCCCCGAGGCCCGGGTGCTGCTGGCTTACCAGGGGCACTCGGCCCGAGGACGGCCCACGGCCTTCGGGGCAGGTGCTCGGGCGCAGCCTCCTCCCCGGCCGGGCAGGACCCAGACAGACGGTGCCCTCACCCCAGCACCCTCGGGACAAGGCCCACCCCGCGCCTGACACCCCATCTCCTCATCCCCATCGCGCGAAGAGGACACGGAGGCCCAAGGCGGCCTCAGCAGCCGGAGCCCCCGCGGGAGGGAACTCGCCACAGGCCTGGAGCCCGCGCCTGCCCTGCCCGCCAGGCCCAGCAGGTGGCAGCAGAGCCCAGGACAGCGGCGGCGGGGCGGCCCAATCCTGAGACAAACAGCTGGGCTCGCCCGGCCCTTCCCGCCCTGAGCCTGAGCCGCACTCCCCTCACAGGCGCCACGGCAACAGCAGCGGCAACAGCAGCGTTTGCCACGGCGCCGGCCTGGGCACTGGCTCGGCCCCACAGCCCGGCCTTCAGCCTGAAGTCAGCCTCTCTCGGCCCATCCGGGGCGCAGGGCCTGGGCGTGGGGCGTGGCATCTCCCCGGGGCTCTCGGTGCCCAGAGACAGCCCAGCCCGAGGGGCCGGGGGCTCGGCCCCACAGCGGGGCCATGTCCCCAGACCCGCCCCCGAGACCCACCCCCCGAGAAGGACCCCCCCAGAGGGACCAGGCTCCCGAGAGGGCTCCCAGGCAGCACCCGGCCAGGAGGCCCGGGGCTCGGGGCCACCATCACCCCCAGTGGTCCCGGCAGCACCCCCACAGGGCACAGAGGGGACCCCGTGCCCACACAGCTTCCGGCCTCTCAGCCCCCCTCCTATGGATGCCCCCCAGGGGTCCAGCACCTGCAGAGCTGGGGTGGGGACCCCCCCTCCCACACGCCCCAAACCCGAGATCCACGTGGAACATGCTGCAGGGACGTGGGGCTCAGGGCTGAGTCCAGAGGGGAGCCTGCCCGGATCTCGGGGGGGCAGACGCCCGGATCTTGGGAAGCAGACGCCCAGATCTCGGGGACAGATTCTCAGATCTCGGGGGGACAGATTCTCGGGTCTCGGGGGGCAGGCGCCCGGGTCTGGGGGGCAGACGCCTGGATCTCGGGGGGCAGATGCCTGGATCTTGGAGGGCAGTCAGTGCACCTGTCTCCCAGCTGAACCTCACAAACGACTCGACCCCCCGCCAGCTGCCAGGGGGGTGCCGCGGGCCCTCTGTGTGCCATACTGCCGTCCTTAAGGCCTCCAACAACCCCAGACCGGGCGCCAGGCGCCTACACGGACGGGGAAACCGAGGCACAGCAGCTCTGTCGTTGCAGGAAGCCCTGGCTCCATGCCCCCGGGTCCCTGTGACAGTCAGGGCAGAGGTGGGGCGGCCGGGCCTCCTGCTCAGGGGAGAAGCGGGGGCAGGGGGGTCCTGGGAGAGGGCGCAGCCTCGCGGGAAGCTGTGTCTGCCCGCGCCCGGGGCATTGTCTGCCGGTGAAAGGCGGCCATTGAGGCTCCGGCAGAGGCAGCTGCTCCGGGTCACCCGGCCACGGGGCCGCGGGGACCTGGCCCGGGCGCCCCATGACCGTGGCTGAGGGGGGAGGGCCAGGCTGGCACGCCCCAATGGGCCCCCGGGAGCCTGTACCCCACGGCCTGGCTCCCTGACAGCAGTGCTGCCCGGCCCGGTGCCCACGCTGTCACACCGGTTCCCGGCAGTGCACCCCCGGGGGACAGCCCCCGGCAGGGCCACCGGCTTCGTGGCACCGCCACGCCCCCCTCTGCCCACCTGTCCCTGCAGGACCTGCTCGCCCCGCGGCGCCCACACCGGCCAGAGGGTCCCCACAGCCCGTAACTCCGGCCGGCCGGGAGGGGCAGGGACTGAGCAGCAGGCGCCCAGCTCCCACCAGGCGGCCCCGTGGCGGACTCGTGTTAGGCCAGTGGGCCCGGCCGGCCCAGGCCCCTCAGGGCTCTGCAGCGCCAGGAGGGGACGGGCCGGGGACGGGGCTGGGGACATGGGGACGGGGACGGGAACATGAGGACGGGGACGACAGGACTGGGATGGGGACGGAGACACGGGGACATGCGGATGGGGACGGAGACATGAGGATGGGGACTGACACAGGGACTGGACGGAGCAGCCGCCTCACCTGCGGAGTACGGCTCCTGCTTCTCGGGGTCGGTGAACTCCTGCCGCTCGTACTTGGCCCGGATCCACTGCTCCCGCAGGAGGCTGGGGACCGAGCACAGGCTTAGGGTTAGGGTCAGGGTCAGGGTCAGGGTTAAAGTTAGGGATAGGCTTAGGGTTAGGGATAGGGTTAGGGTTAGGGTCAGAGTTAGTAATAGGGTTAAGGTTAGGGTGAGGGAGCTGGGTCTGAATATTTGGGGAGCTCCCAGCTGGTTGGCGGGAAGCTGGCACATGTGGCCAGGCCCATTGGTCTGTGGTCTTGGGCAGCGAAAGGCCTTCAGGATGAGGTAGCTCAGAAGATTCGGGGTCTTTGGAGTCTAGTCCTGCACCCCGAGCAGGCGCTGCCTCTGGAGCTGGAGGGTGGGGTGCGGGGTGCAAGGTGCGGGGTGCAAGGTGAGGGGTATGGGGGGCAGGGCACAGGGGGCCAATGTGGCGGGTGGAGGTGGGAATGGGGCTGCGCATCCGGCCTGGACAGGAGGGAGGGAGACCCTCAGGGCCGCAGGGAACTGGGCCGAGCGCAGCCCTGTGGGGTCCACAGAAGCACGAGGAGGTGAGTGAGAATGCTGGTCCCCATGGCCACGCCGCCCCGGGGCCCGGTGAGCAGCATGTGGCAGCTTCCCAGACTCTGAACGTGGACCCCAGACCCCCGACCCGGGCTGAGCTGCCAGCTGCCAGCTGGTGTCACCGCCTGGGCACCAGCCATTTGGGCCAGGGCCGAGCCAGCGAGAGGCCGAGGGGCCACCCTGGGCGCCGAGGCCTAGCCTCCAGCTCTGGGCGCAGCCCCCGCTCCCCCGTGGCTGCCAGCAGCTCCCCCTCTCTCCTCCCCATCCACGGGCCGGGACCAGCACTCACTGGCAGTCGGCGGGATCAGGACATTTAGGGTTAAGGTTAGGGATAGGGATAGGGTTAGGGATAGGGTTAGGGTTAGGGATAGTGTTAGGGTTAGGGTTAGGGATAGTGTTAGGGTTAGGGTTAGGGATAGGGTTA